ATATTTATATGAATGTAAGTAACTGCAGCCTATTAAAAATCAAGAAACAGAATAAAGTAAAAAAAATAATCAAAAAAGTAAAATAATAAAAAATAAACGAAAACAATATATATATATATATATATATATATATATATATATATATATATATATATATATATATATATATATATATATATATATATATATATATACATATATATATATATATATATATATATATATATATATATATATATATATATATATATATATATATATATACATATATATATATATATATATATATATATATATATATATATATATATATATATATATATATATATATACATATATATATATATATATATATATATATATATATATATATATATATATATATATATATATATATATATATATATACATATATATATATATATATATATATATATATATATATATATATATATATATATATATATATATATATATATATATATATATATATATATATATATATATATATATATATATATATATATATATATATATATGTAATAATGTGCATAAATATTAACTGTCAGGTAAAACAATTAATTTGTTTTGCTGTGTTTTATGGTTGTGAACTTGAGAGTAATGTTAGTAGCTAATATTCGAAACAAATCAAGAATTAAATAAAATAAATAAAAAATTAAATTAAATTAAAAAAAATAAAAAAAATGAAAAAAAATTGCTGAACAATACAAGAAACGCAAAAATAATAGAAACAAACAATAAAAATTACAAATATTATAAAACTTTCTGTTTTCGAGCTATTTATAAACGCGTCGAGCTTTTTTGTTCCTTTTTTTTTCAAATAAAAAAGAAAACAAAAAAATTTCAATGATTAAGGCTTATAACTATTCAATAAAACCAACCAAGCGTACGTTTCTAACAAAACTTTATACTATTTATCCGTTGTAACGTCTTCAACTTAAAAACACCAAAAACAAATAAAAATAAAAAGCAAAAAATATAAAAGTGCAATTGTTATTATATAACTAAATTTTTATAATTATATAAAACCGACGGGCATTTGTTTTTAAAAGTTACGATCTAAATGTATTTTAAATGTCTTTTAAACGTCTTTTAAACATTAATGTTTAAAAAGACGTTTAAAGACGTTTAAAACACATTTAGAACGAAACTTTTAAAAACAAATGCCCGTCGGGAAGCTTGAATAAAATTCAAACATAACGCCGCAAATCAAAATAAGACAAAACAAGAAAAAACATGTGCAAATCTAAGGATACCATTGCTCGAACTCCAAAGCTATAAGCGATTTATGTCGACTCAGAAAGATTTTATTAAAACATACCTGGAATCCTCTTTCTTCTTCTTAACTTTAAGTAAGGCTGAGTATTCGAGGTACCCGCTTACTATAGACTTGTTTTCTATGAGACGACGTCGTTCTTTTATGGCCTCATTGCGACGTTGAGTTAGCGATGGCGAATACATTTGTTCAACCCGAATATTGTTTTTGGACTTGAAAAAGATATTTTTGTGTGTTCATTATCAGCCCATTTATGAAATTTGACAAAAATGTGGCTTGACTTGGTACTGTTTTCGTGAACTTTTCCTCGATGACAGCGTTCGATCATGTCATGTCGATAAAACATTACAACAACAACAACTCACCTGTCTATCTCTGCTCCCTAAATGCAAAAAAAGCATTTGACAGCTGTAGCTGGGACATTTTATTTGAGAAACTATACAATAATAAAAAATTACCGCTTTATATTATTAATACTATATCGTCGTTGTACCATGAAAGCAGTGCTTCTGTCACTTATCTAGGATGCAAGTCATATCCATTTTATCTAACACAGGGAGTGAGACAAGGATTGATTTTGTCTCTTTACCTGTATACATATATACTCAAAGCCTACTTGAAACCATACAAAATAAAAGTATCGTAGGGACATCAATTTATGGAAATTACACAGGTGTTGTAGCATACGCTGATGACATCATTCTTCTTAGTTCTACCCTGTCTGGAATAAAAAAGCTTATAGTAGCTTGTAATATATACACTAACGCAAATTGTATAAAGTTGAATGCTAATAAGACCGAGTTCTTGTTCACTGGAAAAAAACTAATTGTAAACTACATGATAACAATCGACCATCAACAAATAAAACTGGATGATAAACTTAATCATCTAGGTTTTATATGGGATACTAAAAGCTCTTCTTTTGCCTCACTTAATCATTCAAATATTGATAATAGAATATCAAAATTCAGGGCAATAATTCAAACTCTTATTCAGTTTGGAATCCGCTTTGCTCATCCATGCTCTATTGTCCAGCTATATAAAACATTAGCGGTTCCGGTACTTACGTATGGTCTTGAAGTTTGCGATTATAAAGACGTACTAATGCAAAAGCTTGATATAATAGAGAGGAATGCACTTCAGTCACTCTTCAATATTTCCAAACACAGCAAATTATATTCATTCTTTGTTTTACATCCAAGATGTATCAACAATCGTACATCAAAACAAGTTAAACTTATTTGTTAGCATATTGAGCAATAAAACAACTTCTGACATTGTAAATTCGCAGTTTAAAAACCAAACCGCTAAGCACCCTTTTCTAGATGATGTCATAGGTTTTCTAGATGATGTCATAGGTTTCTAGATGATGTCATAGGTTTCTAGATGATGTCATAGGTTTATGCAATCGGAATGAACTCAATCTAGAGAGCTTAAAACAAAAAAAAAGTAAAAATTATTGTGTTAAGAAATATAATTCCTAAAAAAGATCTTCAAAAGTTAAGCTATGCAATTGAGTTCTGGAACTCATTGGAGCAAAGGAAAATATTCAAAGATATTCTTGAAGTAAATATTCCAAGATAAAAACTTATTTCTTGTCAAAAATGTAACTTTATAATAATTTACCCTGTATTATATACAGTGGGTGATTAGAATAAATATATTATTAAAATACTTCGATATAGTAGACCTCAAAATATTTATATGTGTTTTGTAAATTTGCTTTCAAATTTTTTCTTTATTTTATATTGATCTAAATTAAAATGTTATATTATCTCGATGAAAAGAAATGAAAAATTTTATCACGAGAACATATTTAGTTAAATAATTAATAGTAAAAACACAGCTTTTTTGTTTGTTTTACTTTGTATAACCTAAACGATTATATAACCTAAATAATTAAATTTCATTTCCAATTATAAGATTTTTATTTTTAGCGTTAAAACGAAGCCAAAATAATTAAATCAATCTCCACAATAAAGGATCATTTGGTCTATATCTTCAATCTTCATAATAAAGATTCTCTCTATATTATCTCTATAATAAATCATCTATAAAATAAATCAGTCTCTATAATAAAGGACTCTAAAATAAAATCTTTAAATAAATAGGGAATTTTAATTACACTATTTACATATATATTTTTTCATAGGTTCACTATAGTTAAAATGGTTTTAATTAAAGTTTTAATTAAAGTTTTAATTAAAACTTACTTTTTCTTTTCCACAGAAGCTTGAGCATTTATTTATAACTCATCAAACTTTCTTCCGGCTTTCATCTTTGCATTACACGTAGAATATTAGAAATTAACATGGTTATGTCCTTTTTATTAATTGCTTATAAACTACTGTTCTTATTTTTTGTAAAACAAATAATAGACTGTCACTTAATCTTCTGTAGGTAAAAAGTAATGATTCTTTCTTTTTGTTTGATTCGTCTTGTCTATTAATCACTATGTATATATATATATATATATATATATATATATATATATATATATATATATATATATATATATATATATATATATATATATATATATATATATATATATATATATATATATATATATATATATGTAAAAGAAATAAAAATAAAAAAGTAAAAAACAAGACAGAATTAATTAAGGAATGCATTTGGTTAAAAATCATGACAATAAATAAATATCATGAATTATTGTATGTTTTCAAACTTTCAAATTCAGATTTCTCAAAACAATGGTTAGTGGACGTATTCCCTTTGAGCTCTTAACCATCGATATATATATATACATATGCCTGTAAAATTTTTTATTAAAAGTAAACATGGCAGCTTTTAATTGCAGATTAACTTCTCCCTTTAAACTTTTTGCAACAATTATAGCAGCTTATAGTTGTTTATTTATCGAATTGGTATACTTCAGGCAAATGTGATATTAGCTTTTGTATTTAGATTTATGCTATTGGTCATTTTACTTACTAATATAATAAATTATAATGAATAAAACTCTAAAAGGACAAATATAAAAAAAAAAAGAAAACATATAAAATGGTATATTTTCACCAAACAGTCTCATAGACAATTAAATTTTTTTAAAAGTGACAAAGTGAAAGATACAGAACAAAATACATATTTTATTCAGTTTTTGAAAAGAACAAAGTTATTTTTGTGGTCCGCTTTATATGGTATATTTTGGTTTTTGTAGTATATTAAAGTGTTCTGTAAAATAAAACTTTAAAGTGTTCTGCAAAATAAAACTTTAAAGTGTTCTGCAAAATAAAACTTAAGCAGTGATAGAATAATCTTAAGAGCATCTTTTTATAACAAAAATGCAAAAATCAGGTTTAAGTTCCAAATTGTTCAGAAATTATGGACCAACTGAATTGATGTGGTTTTTGGATTGCATGAAAACATATGCAAGATCTAAGAAATCATACTTACGAGCAAGAACCCCATTAATTCTTTTAAAACCAACAACAAAAATGATGTTATGTGCCCTTAGAAAAAAAAATCTAGACCTTTTTATTTTCAACTTTTTGCAAACCTAAAATGTATTCTTATATTAATTGAAAAATCAATAAGAATTGTTACCACAGTAACAATAAACAACTCAAAGTTGATTATAATCATTAAAAAAAATGTTTTTAATTTAACTTTAATTTTATAGTTTAATAAAACAATAAATAAATACAATTTTAAAATTTAGCTTGATAAAACAATTTCATTTTCTATTTTTTATCAAAATGCACTTTTTTTGTTTCATTTTTTGTTAAAAATAAGGTTAATTGATTATTATTTTTTATTGTTTGGGATTTGCTAAATTTCTCAGCTTGGTTTTTCTTTACATTTTCTGCTGTTGAATCAATGTAGAACAAAAAGTTATCTGCTTTTAATTTTTCCTTTGTAATTTGTTGACTTGTTAAAAATCCATTGTTTTTATAAACTCCATTTGCTGAAATGTTCTTTGTTTTCCCGATATCATTTTTTTCATTTGGCACTGCTTGCATCTTGCTTATCAATTTTTTTTGTTCGTAATTTGTCGTTAAATTATGTTTCGAGTTTTCAACCGTATAACCAGTAGAGATGGGACTTTGTTGCCTTTTATTAAAAAGGCTTTTATCGGGATAGTTAGACGAAATATCATTTAAATTTAAGTTGTTGAAGTGATTAATGAAGCCATTACGTACAATATTGTTGTTAAGGTGGTCAAACGAGTCGTTATTTAAGCTATTTTTGTTGTCTTGATTTATAGACTCATGATTCCAACTGTTTTTATTGGATGACTTTAAAGTGTCGGAATTTGAATTATTTTTGTGAGTTTGAATAAACGAGTCTCGATCTACATCAACATCGTATTTAAAGCCTGTTGAATTTATTGGACTTATAAAATGTTCTTTTTTAAAATGTGATACTGATTTATTTTGAATATCGCTATGGATATTTTTTATCGAATCTTGAAGTTTGTTGGTTTGAGTCAAATAATCTTTATTTTGACTTTTAGAAACGTAAATATAACTAGCAGAATTTTGATGATTATTAATCGAACTGCTATCCAAAAAGTTAGTGGTAACATTCTCCTCGCTATTTTTGTTTGGAAAATGTATGCCATAATTGTTGGATGTGTTTGCATAATTATTGGATATATTATTGCTGTTATTTACATAGTTATGATTTGTATTTGCATAATTATGACTCATATTTGCATAATCATTTTTGCTGACATTTGACAGATCTTCTGATGATGTTTTTTTATTGTAAAATTCTAAATGATTTAGGGGTTGAGAATATTTGTGATTGAAACGTAACCCTCTGAACATTTCGCATGAGTTTGTTGACGGTTGATGCCGTTGCAAACGAATTTTATCAAGAGTAGATTTATCTTCTTTGTTTGAGCTCCTTTTACAAATATAAATAATAAAAAAAAAAGAATAAGACCAACTAAAAACAGAATACTTTGTACTACATTTTTCAACACAATATTTTTTTCAAATATTAAATAAAAAAATAGTTCGTACAAACATAGATACAAACATATCTATATCTATCTATCTATTTATCTATCTATCTCTCTCTCTCTCTCTCTCTTTCTCTATATATATATATATATATATATATATATATATATATATATATATATATATATATATATATATATATATATACATATATATATATATATATATATATATATATATATATATATATATATATAGCATTAAATATAAATAAACAAACTTCTTACATTTTTCTTTGTAAACATGGATCACATAAAAAAACTTATTCATATCATGATAAAGTCTCCCACTCACTCCACTTTTCCTTAGAAAAAAAAGTTAAACGAAATATTCATTCATTTTTAATGTTAAAAAACTATTCACTTTATTGAAACAATTACAGCAGAATTCTATGGTCTGACTCATCGATATTATCTATCTTAGAAAAACACTTACTTTTTTCAAAAATCTTTGTGCGAGCTGATTTTTTTTTAAAACTCCTTGTTATTATATTTTTCATATTTTAATCTTTACGTAATTTATCGAAAAATTGCTTATAGTTTGTTTTTCTTACTTCAAAAATCTAAAAAATCGAATTTTTAATAATTCATACAAAATTTTAGCCGCTCATTTATTAAACGTTAATTAAACTTGTTGCGTCGTCAATTAAACCGACAAAAATGAATGAACGAATGGAGTATGAAAATTTGTATCCAGACTGAATAATTAATTCAGAATAACATTAAAGGCTGTTGAAAAGTTTGTTTAAAGCACGGGTGTTTTGTTATGCAAAATCATAAAATACGTAAAAAAAAAAAAATATTGCAAATTTAAGTAACTTTTTAGTAATATATGGGGTCCTAATGACAGGTTTTTATGTGTGTTTGGGGGAGGGGGCTTCAGACCCACTACTTTAGGTTTTTAATACACAATGGTTTATAATGCACAATAGATTATATACTTTTTTAAAGATAACAATCTTCTTTATTCCAATCAGTTGAGTTTTCAGGAGAAAAAAAAAATACATCCGCTGAACACGCAATCCTTCACTTGGTTGAAGAAATAAAAAACTCCTTTACAAACGGAGAAGCTACATTAGGTGTTTTTCTATATCTCTCAAAAGCTTTTGATATAGTCGACCACAAAATATTATTATCAAAGCTTAGTATGTATGACAATATGGGGCATATCCAACAAGTGCATAGAAAGCTATTTAGATAAACGCGTGTAATATGTATATTACGGAGATAATTAACTTTCTAATCCGTCTTTTATAGAGTGTGGTGTACCTTAAGGATCAATACTTGGGGCTTTGCTTATCTTAATTTATGTAAACGATCTCTGTATGGCATCAAAAAGAATTTCAACTATAATGTTTGCTGACAATAGCAACTTTTTTATCTCAGGAAAACTTATTAGCGAATTGTACGTAGAAATTAAAAAAAATTTCAGAATGGTTTAGGGCAAACAAACTCTCTATTAACTCGAGTAAAATAAAGTTTTCTTTATTTCATCTATCCTTTAAAAAAATAGAAGTTCAACCTTCTTTTCCGAAATTGTTTATTGAAAATTGAAAATAGAAAAATAAATAGGGATACTGTTACAAAATTTTTGGGTGTTTTTATTGACAAAAATCTAAATTGGAATAAACGTATTGCTTATTTAGGTAGTAAAATATCCAAAAGCATTCGAATAATATACCAGTCACGTTACTTATTAAAAAAACCACTACTCAAACAAATCTACTATATTTTTGTTCGAAGTTACCTAAACTACGGTAATATAGCATAGATAATACCTTTAAAACAAAACTAGAATATATCGTAAACAGAAGCATGCTTTACGTGCAATTAATTTTAAAAATAAAACAGAACACTTTAAACCCCTTTTTGAATAAATGTTTTTATTAACATTGTTTGAACTAAATGTTCTAAATCTTATGTTTAATAGAAAAATCCAAAAAAGTCCTTCAATTTTTTACAATCTTTATAAGCAAAAACCAGAACACAAGTATTTATTGCGTACAAATAGTACCCTGTTAAAGCCTTCATGCAAAAATAAGCTTGAGCAATTCAAAATGATTTATTGTGCACCTCATATCTGGAATAAGTTTTTACTAATTAATTTAAATAATATTGATTTAAAAAACTTAAAACTTAAAAAAAAAACTTAAAACTTAAAAAACTTAAAGCTTTAAAAAAACTATAAAATGGAGTATTTTAAACAGTGACGGATCCAGGAATTTTTAGCGGTGGGGTCATGTTGAAATACCACAACGATGTCTCCTAAAAAAAAAAGGTATCCAATTTCTAAAAACTTTTAGGACTTTCAGATTCTGGTGGGGTATTAAGGAAATAAAAAATTAACTTAAAATAAAAATAAATAATAAATCAGTGGCGTTGCAATAGCCCAAGGCGGAATCTGATTTGCACCGCACCTCATGAAAAAATGCAACTGCATTTATCAAAAAGCTTATCCAGATACTGGATTATTTATAACAAAATTTTAATGGCAAAAGATTAACTTTGTTACAACATTTCAAAGGTTTTTTTTCTTGCTTTTATGTTAGCTAAGTCATCAATGAGGCTTTCAAAGTCAATATCATTACTTAGTTTCTGTTCAATGGATAGCATCACAAGATTTTTAGGGAAACTCATTGTAGATCTAAGAAAATTTTTTTTAACAATTTTAGTTTTGAAAAACTCGTCTTACAACTAGCCACACTTACAGCAATTGTTAGAAAAACTCGTAAAAGTATAACGATATTAGGAACTGAAATTTCAAGACTTTTTAATTAACTGCAAAAGTTCAAGTGGACGACCATCCATCCATGTTTTTTTTTTTTTTTTTTTGATGCGGCAACAGAAATAAAACTTTGAGGTTTTTTCCTTTTAACGAGTAACTCTTCTTTATTAATGGCATCACGGACATGACTCAGAAATTGAAATTCGTATTTATCATTCAAAAGAATTGATGGAGTAAGATTGGCATATTATTTTTCAGTAAGAACATGAAACTGTTTGAATCATGTAGCGATTTTTTGGATCACTCTGTAATGGAAAAACTTCTCTTTTTTCAACTTATTTGAAATATATATTTATTAGATGGTCCTTATTTATAATTTGACTGTGAATATTATTAACCTCTTGTTCCCTGGCCTTAAACTGGAATTCCCTGGCCTTAAACTGGAATTCCCTGGTCTTAAACTGGAATTCCCTGGTCTTAAACTAGAATTCCCTGGTCTTAAACTGGAATTCCCTGGTCTTAAACTGGAATTCCCTGGTCTTAAACTGGAATTCCCTGGTCTTAAACTGGAATTCCCTGGTCTTAAACTGGAATTCCCTGGTCTTAAACTGGAATTCCCTGGTCTTAAACTGGAATTCCCTGGTCTTAAACTGGAATTCCCTGGTCTTAAACTGGAATTCCCTGGTCTTAAACTGGAATTCCCTGGTCTTAAACTGGAATTCCCTGGTCTTAAACTGGAATTCCCTGGTCTTAAACTGGAATTCCCTGGTCTTAAACTGGAATTCCCTGGTCTTAAACTGGAATTCCCTGGTCTTAAACTGGAATTCCCTGGTCTTAAACTGGAATTCCCTGGTCTTAAACTAGAATTCCCTGGTCTTAAACTTTTGTTAAATTACTCTGATTTTTAGGTAACATGTCACAAACCAAAAATCAACAAATATACGAGTTCATTTTTCATCACTGATATTTTGTGTGTATTTAAATATAATCTCATATTGGTTTAAGAAAAATAAATTGGCTCTCAATATTGATAAAACAAAATTTTGTGAGACTTTTCCTTTTTAGTATTATTTTATGTATTATTATTACCAATTTCCCTTATTAGTATTGTGTTTAGTATTATTATTATTATCAATGATGAGGTCAGGCACCGTATTTAGTAAATATTTTTTTCTGGATATTGGGTAAAAAGTGTCCATTGTGTTTTATCAATATTGAGAGCCAATAAAAGGTTTGCATGAAACATTTTCTCCCTTTCTATTTTTATACGGCTGATCAGATTTTTTTAGCTGCTTTCTCACATTCTGTATCCAAGTTTTAGGTGGTGACTTTCGTTTCCTAGTTTTTCCTCAACCTAGGAGCAGACGATGAGCTGGTGCTATTTTAGGATAATCATCATGATAATCAAGAACAGCCAGATCAGTTTCTGAATAAAATAAATAAATATATTATATTATATAGGTACGTGCGTAAATTCGTAATTTGCCGTACAAACGCGAGCTAAAATCTGTGACCCGATTTTTGTAATTTAGCCAAGACACGTATTAAAAACTGTACCGCTAATTATAAACCAATTTTTTTGAAATTTTGCAGGTAGTTAGAAAAAAGGTTTGTCTAAATTTTGATACATTTTTAGACTACTTTACAAAAAAAAAGCTTATATATTTTTACATCATAAGTTGGCACATTTTTTCTATGAATCACAGCTCTGTAAATTATGACAGGTACTTTATGAAACTTTAAGGTATTGTAGATCATTTATTTGTCTAATATTAGTACAATTTTCATATTAATCAGGTGTAGCGCACATTGGTTTTGGGTTTCCCCAAGCACCTTAGGTATTTCTATGAAGTGCTGGATTTTTTATCTTGTTACGCTGCGTTCGCATTTTTTCATTTCTTGTTGTCACATGAATGTTTTTGAAATACCGATTGGTACAAAATGCATATTTATTAACTTGCTGTTTTTTTTATAAGCAACTTTGTGGCATTTGTGGATTCTTAAAAAGAATTCTTTTTGAATCTTTTGAAGATATATAATTTTTTCAGTTATACTTTTAGTTGTATTTTTGATTATTCTTTCAAAGTATTAATTTACTTTTATCGAATATTTGCATCATTATTTACTCATTAAATAATTAATCAAAATATATATTTTTGCTAGACTATTGCAATAGTAATTATATTCTATTAAAATTAATTTAATTTTAATAGTTTATTAAATATATTACATTTATTATTATATATTGTATAGTATTATAAATATTTATATATTATATTTTCTTTGTTATTCTATAAATTATGAACGTCTACAAAAACTCTCCTTCAAGAAGGGTTATTGTAATATGTTAAACATGCAGCGTTAATATTATTAAACATGTTACATTAAAATTTTGTGAATTCTTTACTATATTTATTTTATTCTATATTAAATAAATATAATTTATTTATTTACAGCTCTAAATAATATAATTAAATTTTTACACTAGTACGTAGAGTTTTTAAAATGTCAAAGAAATGTTTAATGTTGAATTATCTGAAGTCAGAGTATCTTAAACTACCTTTTTCATATCAGGTGTGTCTTAAAGGACATGTTTTACTTGTATACTTTCAAAATAAATGTTCAACAACTGAAATTCCGCATCGTACAACTGTGGAGCAGATGATGCGTGAGTTAGGAGTTCAGATCTGCAGACTGCTGAAATAACTATTGCAACAAAAATCTGACCTCGGGCTTTGATGCAACTACACAAGAGGGTGGCCATGTAAGTACTGTTCACTTTTCAACCAAAGCAATATGCATGGTTGTGGCTGTTGACCAACTTGCTTAGGGTACAGCTAATGATTATCAGAGTCATATTACACAGTCTATAGATCACTTTGCTAAGTTGTATAGTAATTTTTACGAGCAACAATATATTGAAGTACGAAGTACAATTATTGCTAATATAAGTAATATGATGAGTGATAGAGCGGCAGCAAACCATGCAACTGTCACTAAGTTAAATACTTAGTGGCAGAAATCATTAAACAAACTAAACTGCCATCTTCACCCATTGGATACAATGACTTCTGCTTGCAAGTCTTCACTTAAAGCATTGGAAACATTAAAAGGAAAACTGTTTGGCAGGGATTGTATTGCAGCTAACATTGTTATACAGCTTAACAAACTACGTTACAAGGACGGTAAAGGTAAATTAACCATTTACTCTAAAAAATATCTAACAAAGTAACAGAAGCCTTAATTTACCATATTTTTCTCCTCTATATTATATATATATAACTTAGTTTTCTTGCTTAAAGGTGACCCGAACTGTTTTTAATCATTCACTAAAACCCAAGAAATGAGTTATAAATTAAAAGATAACTTTTTATGTTATTGTAGTTTTTTATATTTAGCGTTATTATTAGTTCACATAAACAATCGCATTATGTAAGTTTCTTATTTATTATACATATGTATACATTTTTTTTTTTTTTAGCATTTAGAGCATTTAAAGGCAGTATTAAATTTAAAGTTTCAAGATTTGAGCGTACTCTACCACTTTTTATACTGCTAATTTTTGTTTTAAAACTTTTTTTTGTGATAGATGAAGGAGGGGGAGGGGGTTAGGGGGTTGGGGGGGGGGTGACGCCCCACATCCTTTAATTTATTTATGTCACTAATATATAATTTAATAAAATTTAGTTTTTATTTTGTATTATTTTATATATTAGTTTTATTATTTACTATTTTCATTCATTTTAATAATGATAAAAATATTTATTAGAATGAATCTTTCGATACTAGGGTGTGTACCATTACCTCGACATCCACCTCCTTCATAAAATACATCTATAATATTTGCTTGCAAACTGGAATAAAAAAATAATAATTTAAAATGATAAATTACTTATTTTATATATATAAAAAAAACCTTTTTTGGAAGAAATGTGAATTTGTTAATGGAAAAGATGTTTCTTCTGTCCCCCCTCTAGCCCCCTGAATACGCACAGGTGTTAAAAGCGAAAGAAGCTTGTAGCCCAATGTTACACCTATCTTTTGATACCATGTTATATGCATTTAGATAAGATTTAACAATGTTAAGGCGGTTTAAGTTACAAAACCATTATAAATTGGTCACATTTTTGTTAAGGAATCCTTGTAGTCAAATTTCGTCACTATAATGCTCATAACTTTTTGTAGAATCATCCGATTTTAATAAAATTTTCAGTTTTAAAATATTTTTTTAAAATTCTTTCCAACGATATATAACAATCTGATATTTAAACAATTTGAAATTTTTACACACGTACCTATTATATATATATATATATATATATATATATATATATATATATATATATATATATATATATATATATATATATATATATATATATATATATATATATATATATATACATATATAAGCAATAACATGTTTTACCGTGTTAAGTTTTGTTGTTGTTTTTCTGTCGAAAAACATCCGCTACCATTTTGGCTTAAATAACTTTTGATTGGATAAAACGCAGATAGCACATTATAATTTTAACTTTTAAACAGGAATAAGGAAATAGAACAAAATGCAATGTCAGGTATAGTAAGTTATTTTTATTTTTTTTACTGATTTATTTGTGAAAAATTAATATTTTATCCATATAATGAAAAAAAATTGATCTAACTTAATTTTTTTGATTTGTGGAGATAAAACAAAATAATTCTAACCTCGCGATATGTCGAACTTAATATATAATGCCAATACTTTTAGCAACTTTCATGGAGATATTTAAAATTTGTTATTTCATGGAGATATTATCAATTTGTTGTTTGGATAAGTTTTCGTCTACAAGAACTCCGAGATGTTTTGTGAGACTTTCCCTTTTTAGTATTATATTGTGTATTATTATTACCAATTTCCTTTTTTAGTATTGTATTTAGTATTATTATTTTCTGGATATTGGATAAAAAAGTGTCCATTTTGTTTTATCAATATTGAGAGCCAATTTGTTTTTCTTAAACCAATATGAGATTATATTTATTTCTTGTGTCATATTATCAAAAAATGTATTTATGTTTTCATGAGATTGAAAAAGGTTTGTGTCATCAGTGGTTAAGTTAGAGGCTTTTTTAAGGTCATTTGGGATACCACATGTTATATTCATTAATAAAGGCAAAGAAGAGTCTTGGATATTAACAAACTGCTTACTAAGATTTTGAACCAATATTAACAAACTGCTTACTAAGTTTTTCAACCAACTTAGGGATTTATCTTTAATGCCATAGAGTTCTAATTTTTTCAATGTGGTGATTAACAGTATCAAAAGCTTTAGATAAATTGATGAATTCTCCTAGGGTATAATGAGAATTTTTAAAAGAATCAGAAATGCTACATGTTGTTTGGAGAACAGCGTGTTCCGTAGAATTGTTTCTCTGGAAACCAAACTGATTATTATATAAAAGTTTAATATCAACAAAATAATCGTAGACTCTGTTATACATTATTCTTTCTAGTATTTTAGAGAAAACTGGAAGAACTGAAATAGAACGATAATTTATATTACAATGGACACCTGATTTATAAATAGGAGTAATTTTTGCTAATTTTAGAGAGTCTGGAAAGTATCCTTGAGCAATAAGGTCACGAATAGAAAAGTTTGCTTTATAGATGGATTTAAATGTTTTATAAAAAGAATCGTAGATCATCATTGAAGTTAATATCGCTCCAGTTTTGGTTCGAAATTTGTTCCTTAAGGTGGTAAGCTGGTAAAAAAACATGAAAAATTAGAATTTTTTTTTTAACTGTTTTGTATTCAAAATTTATCATAGATTTCAAAAATATATACTGTCATTATATTTTTTTTATTTTTTATTTGAAAAAACAATGTCTTTTAGGGTATGATAAAAATTTTGTTTTAAAAATTTTTGCGATACATTAATATTGAAGATCCTGGAGTCCGTCACCAGTTTTGTCCCCGTACTAATGATAGTTGGTATAATTACTGGAAAAGTATCAAGCGGTACAAACTATCAGTTAATTTACCAATTGCTGTGAAAACTGTAATCTATCCAATTTTTAAAGATTTACGTAGCGCTGTTTAGATGGATCCACTCAAAACCCAAATGAGGCTCTGAAACAAATTGCTTGGAAAAGATGTCCGAAAGAAACTTTTGTTTCAAAAACCACTTTAGAAATTGGAGTTGCATCTGCAATAATAAGTTTTAATGATGGCAAATCTGGACTTGTATGAATTTTTGATAAAATTAAATTGTCTTTTGGAACAAAAACAATTATAGGTTCAATCAAAAAAGACACACTAAGGATTCAAAATATGATTAAAAAATCAACCAAAAAGAGTTTAAAAAGAAGAAAATTGATTAGAGCAAAGAGAAAAGGTTATTTGGAGAAAGAAAAAGAATTAGAAGGAGATGAAGCAAACCAACTTGGAAATTTTTGAGATTTTTTTTATATGTATTGTTTTCTTGGTTTTCCGAAATCTTGTTGCAGGTTAACGAAAACATAGATTTTGAAGATGTTTGAGCTTTCATTTTGAAATTTTCAACCCTTGTTTAACTTACAGAGCACCAGTGTTTAAAACAGAATAAAGCTATATACTCAAGTACTTAATGAGAAATCAGTCACTGAGCATTGAACTATTTATCTAAAAAAATTAAAATAATCTCCGCCATTTTGGAACGGTTGATCAATTTTTAAAAATTTTACTTTAGGCACTAGATAATTATATATTCTTTTACTGTAGCAAATTTCATACTGATAGTTATAGATCTCTTAACAACCGTGTTTTGCTTTTTAGCTAATTTTTAAAATTTTTGCTGACTCATCAAAAAATAATTTATTTTTTGAAGATTTTTTCTGTTTGTGATATTTATTTTTATGATGACTGTTGTGTGTGTGTTAATTTCAGTTTCAAACGATAAATATTAAACATTATAGTTTTTTTTACCAGCTTACCACCAAGATTTCAAATTATTGTTGATTACCAAGATTTCAAATTATTGTCTAATTACCAAGATTTCAAATTATTGTTTTCGTCTGCACGCTTTTTTATAGTTGTTTACTTGGAAGATTTAATTCCTAATTTGCATTTATACAAAAAAAAAAAAAAAAAAAAAAAAAAAAAATAGAAAAGTGATCTGAGACATCTGTTTTAGCTATACCATTTTTAAGCAGCTTGTTAAAAAAAAATCATTAATTTTAAGTAGCTTGTTAAAAAAAAATCATTCGAGAGTTTTCTGGAGGCGGAAGAAAAAACATTTTGCCGCTAAAAAGCTATTTTGAGGCTACCACCAACAACTACCGCTTCCCGAAAGAGTCGGCCTTTCGGCAGAAAGTTACTTTGCCGCCGGGCGGCATTACCAACTCTGGTTTTAATAGCAAAGATAAAAACCAGACTATATTATAAATTTTAGTAAGACTTTTTTCTTAATTCATCTATTTATATAAAACAAAATATTATTACAAACTACAATATTTCGTATACTTTATGAAATCGATTTTGGCTGTCTAACATTAACGCTTTAGTAAAATATTATCGACAGTAAAATATGAAAATGTTGCAAGTTTGGATAGAATAGTTATTCATTACTTTAACAGTTTATGAAGAATAAAATAACATCGGCAATAATACTCATTTTTAAAATTTTGCCTAAACTGGAAAATATATCAACGTTGAACTTCTCACTAGCCTGTAAAACTTAAATGAGAACAAATCAAAAATGTTACACCGAGCTTACAATCTCAAAATGAATTTTCTTGATATATCGCAATTGCAATAAATGCAAACCATTTAAGATAAAAATGTACTTACATAGCAAAAATAATAAAAAACACGCACTATAATCGTAAATAATATAAAACGAAAATAGAAAAAGAAAAAATCTTTTGCAATATTTGATTCTTATTATTTAGACTTTTTTTTTGGAAAAAAAAAAAAAAGGGAAAAAAAAAGTTTTAAAAACTCAACAAACTAATTAATTTTCTTTTAAAAACTAAATTTCTACAATTTTAAATTATAAAAACTAAATTGCTATAACTTTAAATTAAACGCATAAAGCAAAAACAAAAACCCGATTAAAACCGAAGTATGCGAGCTTTACAAAAATAGCAGTTTAACACTCGGAAAACACGTTGAAATTATCAAATGCGTGATCATACATTTAAAAAAAAACATAAAAAACTAAGGTACCAATAATTAAATAATATAAAAAGAACACGTAAATTATTTACCATATGTACAATTTTATGATCATCTGTGTCTTATTTGAGTACTTTTTGCGGTAAATCAGATTATTTTTTTTCCGGTTGAACTTTTTTCAATAGAAAAAAAATTCAATTCTTTTTTTCTTCATTTCAGTAAATTTTAGACGGAGAAAATATCTAAATTATTCTTTAGCGTTAATTTTAAAAAATGAATATTGATTTCCCTATATGCAATATATCATTTAGCCACACGGTGTGATCAAACATGATCAAAATGAGCAGCTGGAGGAATGGGCCGACTAACGAGCCAAAATTTAAACGGCAAGCTTTATTAACCAGTGGAGCTTACAGAATTCTCATCGTCTTTACATAATTGGTTACTTCTTCCACATGAAGATGTTAAAATTTTTGCTCCAGTTCTAATCTGCACTTGCGCCTCTTCGTATGACTTACAAATTTCTTTAAACCATTCGTTATATTCTGTATCACTCTAAAAAGGTGATCAATTTCATTTAAAAAATATATAATACGTGCGCAAGACATAATATGAACAATTCTTAGCAAAATAATTACAGTTTAAATTTTTTTTGCGAATAATAAATTTAATGTTTAAAAAAATCTAAATTGATACCCCTTCTACAATCTCTTATGTTTAATACCCCTTATGTTTCTGATATCTTTTACATATGTTATGTTTAATACACTTTCTCTTTTAATGGCCCTTCTACTATTTCTGATGTTTATGTTATGTATAACACGCATCATAGAAACTTTGTCTTGTGAACGTATTAAAAAAACTATATAAAAAATACTTGTTAGTTCAAATTTTGAACCAGTTACTCATAATCTCTTAAATAATCTAAATATATATGTTCTCATTATATACCCCTAAGATATATATATACTCTTTAAAAATGTTCACACCCTTTTTGAAACTCAACATTGCCAGTAAAAAAAAACATATTTAAAGTTAATCACTAAATTATTAAAGGTTTTTCTTCTGTAATAATAAATTGTTTTACTTAATCTGAAACTTTAATTAAAAAACAACCTTTTTCACTGTCTTATTGGAAATACGAAGTATAATTTATACAAGAAGTAAAGCTAAAGTAAGACTTTAAGTCGACTTGACTTTAAAACTCATGGATCACTGAATTTGACATTTTTAAAAATCCTAAAAAATTATGTTTCTTTTGACATTGCATATTATCTCTGTAACCTCAATAAGGCAATAAACATGCTAATTTTATTGTGAGATAATTATACATTTTTGTCTTAATATGTAAATCATTATTGATTTGATTAGACTAAATTAATTTGTACAATCTAACTATACAATTTTTGCAACCAAAAATAAAAATCTTACATCAGCACGAAGAACAAGTTGTTCCCTATTATCTTTTAAGTGAATCTTTATGCATTTAAAGGTTTTATACACAATTTCATCGACAAACTGAATATTTTCAAGTGGTAATAAAAGCTTTTGTGAATGCTAAACACAGAAATATTTTTAAAAATTAATCAACCATTTGTCAATAATTAATTAGTCTATTTCTGTTTTATAGAACTTGTCAAACTTTTACCCATTGTTCTCCTCTGTATTCAAGTCGATTAGGATAAAGAAAAAAATATTTCTTTGTCCAAACTGAAAGAAAAGGACCACCAAGTTTATACAAATATCCATGAAGAAGACAGTCCCCATTTTGAACACCTATAACAAAAACAACAAATAATTTTTGTAATGTTTGAAAATAATTAAAAACTGATTAATCAAGACCTAACAGAAAAAAATATAATATTAAACAAGTTAAATAAAGGAAAAAGTCAAATACTTACTTAACTCCATATTTTTAGATTTGTTTTTAGCTTCAATTTTTTTGGCTTCTTGATTAACCACGTCAAAAACAGTTTCTACAAAAAGTAAAATAAAATTTAATTACCATAAATAAAAAAAAGCAAACTATGACAGTGATAATATATATATATATATATATATATATATATATATATATATATATATATATATATATATATATATATATATATATATATATATATATATATATATATATACATATATATATATATATATATATATATATATATATATATATATATATATATATATATATAAATGTTTACTCTTTAATTGATATCTATATAATTTGTTATACAAAAAGAAAAGAATTATTAAAATAATATATACTATTTCAATTATCTTAGATGGATGATAATAAGCAGTGGTTTTAAGGAATAACAAAAATAAGGTCATTTAAATCACTTTTAACCATCCGTGAATTAATTCTCATTAGTTACATCATTAATTACTGTAGTTTTTCATGGAAACGTGAGATGTCAGTTTTGATAAATTATGATGATTTGTAACACTTAGATGAATACAAACAGAAACATTAAAATAAACAAAAAGAGAAATCCAGAACATATTATGTTAATAATAAATGTTCTAAATCACCATTGATAGCAAGTAGTGCTGTAGGATATTTATTTTCACCTCATTTATCAATCAAAATATCTGTATGATATTTATTTCCATCATACCTATTTTACAAATGCCATTAATTATACAAAACCAATCACATTGAGTTAAATTTTCAACCAAAGCACTTGATGTATTTATCCACCCCTTTTAAGATCCTTTAAAAAAAAATTAAACTGCTGAATGAAAATTTAATCTCCATTGAACTTGAGAGCCAATCACAGACCAGGCATTACTATTTTTAAAGATTACATAAATTCGTTGATATATTGTAAAAAATCTTACATATATAAATAACATAAACAAAATATATGGATACATGAATAAATTGAAATTAAAAAGACAACTTGTTTTATCATTAAAATAGGTAATTTCTTTTATATTACACAATCATGTTAAAAATACAATTTATATAAAAGTAATCTAATCCTGTAGCAATCTTACCTCATGCCAGAGGTAGGTAAAGATACTTCCTGAGGCATGAGGTGAGATTAAAGGTGGATTGAGGTAAGAGTGAAGGTAAAGTCATGAGGTGAGATTCTAAATCTAAAAATGGTTAATTAAGAAAAAAAAAAAAAAAAAAAAACTTGTTAGTACTTTGAAAAATCAAAATATTAATTTCTGAATTTGTATTGATAATTAAGATGGTTATTTTTGTTATTTTATTGACAAAAAAACAAGTGAATTATTTACCAGCAATTTCTTGTTGCCACCTCTCTGAGTTAACATAGTTGAAATCTTTATATAGAGCTTGATCAGCATCTGTAAGCTGAAAAAAAAACAAAAAAAACAAAAACAAAGTATAAATATTTTATTTCTACACTTTTGCTCATATACTAAAAAAATTAAAAAAAATTATATGAAAAAAATCATAAACCAAGGATACCATAAAGTATGCAAAGATGACATTAGATGACAATACAAACTTTATGACCAGTTTGTCACTAGCGTTTTTGAAAAACAAAAACAAAACAAAAAAACACCATAAAATACCTTGACACCCTTCACATCTTCTTCATCAAAGGAACCGATATCAAAAGCATCTGCGGCATTGACTTCACCACGCGGCGGAATTAGTGGAGGTTGTAGCTAAATATAAATAAAACTAGTGCATATGTACTTTTACAAACAATATTATGTCTTCATGATGCAGCTATTTGTATTTAAATGCAGTATACTAATAGTTACTTTAAAATGACAGTTCTAAAAAATGATTAGTTAATGAAGTTTTGTTTACCTATATTTTTAGTCACGTGTTTAAATACTCTTAATAAAAAAAACATCTACACTTCTACCTTGAGTATGAATAGTAGATTGTTGTAAATTTGTATAGAAATCATGTAGATTGTTGAAATAGAATCATGTAGATTGTTATAAATTTAAATTGAATAAAACTACTAAAGTATTTTAATCACTTTAATTTTCAAAATACTGACTATAACCCAGACACTTTTTTAGGCAATAATAAAAATAATGGAAAAAAAAAAAACTTTTCCACAACAATGTCTTTCATACGTAGATACTACCTGGGTAAACATAAACCCTTTGTATATGTATGTATTATACAAAGATGACTATTTCAGTATGACATTATTTGTGACATTTGATGCCTATCTTTATTATTATTTTTTAAGCTTAACGACTGAGGTTTAACACTCGTATGGTTTTATTTAAATATGACATTATGGAAGAGTTAAATCCTGGCATTAACCTGTTTTTAAAATGTAGCCAACATTCACATACTGGCATTAACCTGCTTTGCCAGGAAAGGATACTATATAAGGATGCAATTTACTGATATTTTTTGAGTGCATTTATTTTTCAGATAAGGAAGGAAAAACAAAGAATAATGGAAAACAACTTTTTTTAATGTAATAAAAGTTCTTTCTTTTTAGATTAATATACGCGAAACCCTAAACTCTCAATCAATGTATGTAGTGAAGCTCCTGCTGCTTCCTATTTTAGTACGAAACCAGTGTCATAATTGCAAGCCTGCTGCTCCCTATTTTAACATGACACCAGTTTGGGTGTATATATATTTTTAAAACCAGCCAGTTGCTCAGTGAGGCAAACAGACTATTCTTTTATAATTTATTTTATACTTTTAAGTCTTTTATACTTAAAACAGTAACTAAGACTAATAAAACCATACTTTTAAATAATTTGCAAGAGCAATAGTGATTATTTTAACCTTCATAATGTATTAAAAGTTATAAACATTGCTGCAATAAACTGTAACAAAACATAATAAAAAGAAACCTACTGGATTAAAATCATGCACACACCTGATTTAAAACGATATTAGTTTTTATTTTAATTATGACAAACAAAAGATTAAACATTAATATTACACATGGCAATGCTTTTTAATTCGAAAAAACAAACTGAATTATAAATAAATTTAAAAATATTTCTTCTAGTTTAAATTCAAAATCATAAGCAGGAATTTTTTTTTTTCAGTAATGACTTTTAACTTTTTTACTTCAAGTAAGCATAATGACCTGTTATGATTAGCAAAATATGATTAACAAAATGAAACAAATATTTGCTAAAAAAAAAAAAAAAAAAGCAAGCAAGTAAGAAGATTGAAGACAGCTTGATTTGCAGAGTTTTCATGATTGCAATACTAAGTAACTATACCATAAGAAAAGTTAGGATTCAGTAAGAAAAATATTACTTATGCTATGAAAAGAAAGAATACAAGGAGAACAGTAAGGAGAGGCAAAAATGAAAAAACTGAATATGTTATGACCTGTGAATATTGTCAGAAAAAATACTTTGCAACAAATTGGTAGCAACTTATAAGTCTATTTCAGTTATTTAAAACATTAATTTTAAATTTTAACCATTTAAAAAAAAAAAAAAAAAAAAAAAAAAACATGCTTTTAATAAAACATTACCTTTCTCAGTTCAACCTCCTTCCAATCAATGTTTTCAAAAAATGAATGTTCTTTAAGTTCAGTAGCTCTAAAATTGATGTATGATCAATGTATTGTTTATAAATTGAATAAAATACAAATTTAGCTACATAATTTATAATATAGGAGTAATAAAATTGTCATTACCCCATGCCCTGGCAACCCAATCTTTTTGGAACACTTTTCTGTAACAAACCAGATAAAAGTGATGTCATACTAGGCGATAAGTCAGATGGAAACTTGACCTCCTGAAAAACAAAAAAATTAAAACAGTTGCAAACTAAATTTCTTCAGAGCACAAACACAATTAACATTATCATAGTATTTGACTTTATGAAAATCCCGGAAAATTATGTTATTAAAAATTGATCGTATTAACAGACAAAACTTTTGTAAACTTTTAAAATGGAATTTAGATTATTTAACTTTTTAAAATAAAGAATTTCTAATATTGGAAAAAGTTAATTGGAGTGAATTAAAAAAAAAAAAAAAAAAAAAAAAAAAAAAAAAAAAAATTGTTACGAAAATTTCTCTTGTGAAAATTTTAATTACAGAAAACATATTTGTTTAAATGCAAAAGTTGCCATATTTAAAATTTTATGTAAAAATATATAACTTTTTTTCCAAATTAATAACAAAAAACATCTGGAAATTTCTGGAAAATAAAGGAGTTTTAAGTAAATTGCCGAAATTCTTGGAAAAAACTCATCTATGCATTATATAATGAAAAAAAATAATATATGGATAAACAATGATTAATGATTATATATCAACTGACAAGAAAAAAAAAAATCACGGCAACAAATCAATTAAAACAATTTTTAAAATTTAGTGCAATAAAAGCACAGAATAAAAAAAGCTTTTTGCTGCAATTTCGCTGAATGTCAATGTCTGAATTATCGAGAGCCTTTTATGTCACAAGCAATGATTTTTGCCTCACTGCACCCATACAACACAAGATAAAACCTTTCTGTTATTATGGCTAACAAATAAGCACTTGAACAAGAGGATCAAAATCCAAATTAATAGAAAATAAGATACTAAACTCAAAAATTATATTGTCTATAGCCTTGATAATAATACAAAGAAGATTGATTATATAAGACTTTTTGACTAGTTGTGAGAAGGCTGATTGAAAAACAGATGGACAGAGCAACATCTAAAGCAATATCAAAAGTAGGAACAACAGATGTCAATTTCCAATAGGCAGAAAAATAAAGGTAGTTGTTAAATTTTTTAGTAGTGGATGTAATATCAATAATACCAATACTAGAGTAGTGGTATTACTGGTACTCTGGTATTAAGCCAGATATACTGGTATTTAGCCAAACCAATACCATTGTTTTAACAGTATATGGGTATATTTACTGGTATTGAGCAAACCTAAAACCATTATTTTGGTACCAAAATACTGATATTTCGGTATTGGATATATAACAAATATTAAAAATAAAATAATAATAATAATAATAAGGCATTGCTTGTTTAACTAAAAATAAAATTGACTTTTTGTAACCAAATTAACAAATCTAGAGTTTTTAACTGTTTTATATGACATTATGACAGTGACATTGCCAAACTAAGTATCGCAAACCAAATTACAACTACTTATGTCTAAATTTACTATTTTTTATTTAACAGGTTTTAAAAAGAAAAATGTTTCAAATTGAGACATTTATGATTTTAAACACTAGTTAAAACTTTGTTTTAGACTCAAATTCTCAATTATGTCTTCATTATTCTAGATAATAGATTTTAAGGCATAATTTATGCTGTGTATACTTATCAATGGTATCTTACATAAAATTTTATAAATAATTTTAAAATTTTTTGCTTATGAATTATGAATTAATAATCTATTTTTTACATCTAATGGATAGATTAGTATTACTTTAATATTCAGAAAAATTTTCTAAAAAATATATGACAGCATTTACAAATTAATTTTTAAAATATTATAACCTATTGTTAAAATGTTGTAACCTGTTGTTGTTTAGTCATTTTAAAAATCAATGAAAAAACAATGGTTTATTTTATTCATGTTGGATATAACATATTATATTAAAAAAATAACATAAAAATAGCATAAAATAACAAAAAAGCAATATTGCAAAGTACCCCCTATCTTTACAACCTGTATCCCTGGAACCTACCAAAAGAATATAAATCTTCAAGTAAAAAGAAACCTGAAAAATGTTTGTTATTGTTTTTACTCAATGTAAAATTGTAAAATAGTTATTGCTAAAAAATAAACAAAAAAAAAAATTTTTTTTTCAGCATATATTAATATTGTTAATTTTGGCATTTTAATATTAAAAAATCCTCCCCTTGTAATTTATAAATCCTCCCCTTGTAATTTATATATATTTTATAATGCTTGAAAATTATGCTTGAAAATATTGCTAAAAAATGTGATGTAAAGAGGTTTCTATATATGAGAAAATTAACTTTTTTTTTATGATATATTTTCTTTATGAATTTTATTTTTATTTATGATGTTTTTATAGTTTAATTTATAAATAGTTATTGCTAAAAAAGAAACAAAATTTTTTTTTGTTTTTACAGCATATATTAATATTGTTAATTTTGGCATTTTAATATTAAAAAATCCTCCCCTTGTAATTAATTTATTATTATATTTATTATAGTTATTATACTATATTTATTAATTATTATAATTTATTATTAAAAAAGTATTTTATGATACTTGAAAAATCCCTCCTTGCTGTTTTTAAATATTCATATGGGAAGAGGTCAAAAGTGTAATCCCTATTTTTGGTATATAAAATTAATAAAAAGTAATTTAATTAAAAACAAGTTTTCTAAAAATTCACAAATACTTGAAAAATTCTGATATCAGTATAAACAAAATAATGTAAATAATTGATGAAAATTCAAAAAGATTACCATCGTCAGTGTCATTTTATCAATTTCATATTTGTCTTTAGTTTTTTGTTGTCTAAAAGGACTGTGCCTAAAAAATTCCATTATATAAACCAACAATTATTATCAAAAAATTAAAAACTTCTTTTAAATTACTTTATAACACAACTCTTTTTATTACCTTGTTAATATTTAACAAAAAAAACAAAACAAAAGCAAAACAGTTAAAGAGGTTTTACCCACGCAAAAGTTTAAAAAGCATACAACCAAAAGAGAACCAATCAGCACATGAATCATATGCAACAGATTTTTGAAGGACCTCAGGTGCCATGTAGCCATGTGTTCCACTATGTAACATTAAATATAATAGAAAAACTGAAAACTATGACCAAATAAAAAAACAACCAAAAAATTAAAAGGGTAACCAAAAAAGCTTAAGTTATTACTAAATCTATACTTACACACAAGCATGTGGTTTTTTTTTTGAAAAATCACATGCTAAACCCAAGTCAGATATACGAACATGCCCATTTTCATCTAACAGAATGTTAGCTGGCTAAAAAGTGATATAAGATATAAAACAAATGTACAGATTTAATACACAAAAAAAAAAAAAAAAAAAAAAAAGTAATAAAAGTAACAAAAAAAAAAATAATTGCATTATAAAAGAGACTAGGACAAATTGGCAAAAGTTTTAATTGTTTAATTCTTTTTTTTTTTTTTTATTTTACTTCACCTCCTCAAGGCCGAGAAGGCCACTACAGACGAGGAGGCTACTTATTTTGTGGCTATAACCCTCTCTCAACTCTATAACTCCGAAACACAAACCTTGACGAACAAGGCCGCTGCGCGGAGAAACGAGTTGAGCGTGGTACTACCAGGGACGTGGTGGGGATCGAACTCAGAATCACTCGTTTATGAAGCGAGCGCTCTACCACTACCGCATCTGTTATCTCTTTTTAAGTTAGAGCATCACTAGAGCATCTGTTATCTCTTTTTAAGTTAGCACTAAACATTTTTATTATAAAATACAAATATAATACAATAATAATACAAAAATACAAATAACACAAAACAAGCCAATGATACAAAAAGCAAAGCTATAAACTTTTTGAGGACAAATTTAAACATTTGAGGACAGATTACATAAATTTTCTGGTCATTTAAACATTTGAGGACAGATTACATATATTTTCTGGTCATTTAAACATTTGAGGACAGATTACATATATTTTCTGGTCATTTAAACATTTGAGGACAGATTGCATATATTTTCTGGTCATTGAAACATTTGAGGACAGATTACACATATTTTCTGGTCATTTAAACATTTAAGTATGCCCTTTAAACTTATGAATATGACTTTGAAATTTCAAGTTTATTTATATGAATAAATATTTCAGCTAGCAGTATGAACTGATATACAAACATACTGATTGATCATACATTTGAAACAAATGACAAGGACAAAAAAAGGTAATTTAAAAAAAAAAAAACTGATTCTTAAGTACCTTCAAATCTCTATAGCAAATAAATCGTGTATGCATGTGTTCCAAACCCAAAATTATTTCAGCAGCATAAAATCTAACCTAAAACAAAAAAGAAATTAGAAAAAAAAAAGCTAATTATATGTTAAATTTTACTAATAATATCTCTCTCCAATATAATTTAACACAGTTGCTCCAGATTTATGACTATCTTCAAAAAATTTAATGGTAGAAAATCTTTTACAAATGACTATCTGTGCAGCCAATTTTGTGTAGTGTTAAACTAAAATACGTACAAATTTGGTTGCACATATCTTTGCTTTAGTAAGGAAAATATGTAAAACTGTATTTTCAAAAAGAAACTGGAAAAAAAAAAGTTTAAAAAAATTTAGTTTTAAAACTTTTTTTTCTTTATATTTATTTATAAGCTACTATGAACTCATTTTATTATGTTAAGGATTAACTTTTTTTATTTTTAAAATGAGAACCAAATACTTATCAATGAGAACCAATTTTTAAGAAAAGGCAGCCAACCTTAAATTTGATTACACCCCAGTGACAGCTTGGGTCTTGTGGTAGTTTGTGAACTTTAAGCCTCCCCTTTCTGATGTATAACTGCAAATTCAATTATAAGTAAAGTTAAGAACAGTTAGTAAGTTTGGATAGCAGTCTTACTAGTGGTGGCATCACAATAAAACGTTTTGATCTGAATAAACGCCAAGAAAAGCACCTGGTTGTAAATAATTGATTTGCCTTTTCCATAATATGATGTATAAATAAGAAAATGGCATTATGGAAAAATCACACAAATATGAAAACATGATTATAAAATTAAAAAAATAATGCACACATACACACTTTAAAGTAATGCCGTGAAAAGATGTACAAAGTAAATAACAAATAAAAAATAAAAAAAAGCTTACACTTTGTTCGTCAAAAACACCATGTTGAGTAAGATGATAATGCAAATCTCCACCTGCAATAGAAAAAAATATAGGTCATATAAATCCAGTTTTGGTATGATACAACAACTTTTCTATACAACATAAAATATCACAATGCAAAGTTACTTGTATAAACTGACCATTCATTAAATCTAGAACAAAGCATAGCTTGTCTGGAGTGTGGAAGGCGTATGTCATGCAAACAATAAATGGATTGTTCACCTAACATGATAGATTTATTTAATAGTAATAACAATTTTGTTTTAGTAAAAAAGTAAGAAGAAAATAAATTTAAAATAAGTAAAAAATTTATCTTTTAAATTAAAAAAGAAAAAAAATTACAAATGAAAGCATAGCTCTTTCATTTAGTGCAAGTGTTTCTCCTTGCTTTAACTTTATTCGTTTCTTGTCTAGAGATTTCATTGCATACCTGTAAAGAAATTAAAGCTTTAATTATAACTTATACTTATTTTATTTATATATTTATTAGTAATGTACTGATAGCACATTTGTGGCCGATGTTGATGAATGGGAAAAGGCTAATACCGATGCCGCTACCAATGAATTAACTAATTATTTTGAAAAAAATTTGAAAATATAAAAGCCATACAACTTTAAATCATGTAAACTATGGAAAAAAAACTTTCGAAAAATAATAAAATTATTTTTCGAAACACTTTTTATTTCAATTTTGAAAAACTTTTTAAAAATAATAAAATTTAAAGGGAAGACTTTTTATTTCAATTTTTAAAAGAAAATGGTACTAAAATTAGCAGTTTACTTAGAATTCTTTATAAATTTATTAGTAATTTAGATATCTAAACAACAATCATATAGAAATATAGAAGGCTAACTTGAACACGTATAGATAACAATGCTCAAATAGGTTACTTTTAAGTATAACAATAAAACAACACAAAATAAAATTATTTTAAAAATAAAATTATGTAATAAAAAAAGTAAATAAAAAATAAAAAAAAAAGTTAAAACAAAGTATATATAAATCATCTTAAGAATAAACAAATTTGCCTGTAAACAAAGTCAAAATAAACAATTTCTCAAAAAAATTCTAAGTAATGCATAAAATTTAGTTTATTTATTATTTAATTATCATAATGCAGGATAAAAATATAAAAATGCCATCAGTTGGAAAATTGGTAAATTAATAAAAAAAAGGCTAATACCAATTGTGCAAAAAATGTCTGATTAAGCCGATGCCAATTAATCGGCACATCACTAATATACAAACACATACGTATATATGTGTATACATATAATTATATATGTATGTTTAAGTATATATATGTATGTTTATATATATTTATATATAAACATACATATATATACTTATGTATAATAGGGGAGTTTTTAAAACAACATTTGAAAGACCTGGTTCTATCCACTAAATGTATATAGACATATATATAGACATTTTTTATTACATATCATTATCATTATACTGGATTTCAAAAACTTGATAAAGATTAATTTGAAAGGTTGCTCAAGACAATTGAACATTTTACTGGTCTCTAATAGGGAACGAAAAATCGACCATTTGCGGTGATCAGACTTCTGCTGCAGTTATCAGCTAACCGCAGCGGTCGGTGGTTAAGGTGCATGGTGATGCATTGGCGGTGACAGCAGTTAGAGGTGTGCCGTGGTTGTGGATTAGCAGTTTTCAGTTTTCAGACCATCACCGCAGAAGTCCGATCACAGCAGATGGTCGATTTTTTGTTCCCTAGTCTCTAATAATCAATTTATAATAATCAATTAATAATAATCAACAACAACAACAAATTTTTTTTTTAATTTTGCCGACCTGGGTCTCAAAAAAAACATTATTTGATTATATATAAAAAGAGATTAGTTCAATATGAAGGTCAAATGGAGTTTTACTCTAAAAAAGTAGCTATTTTGAAAACTTTAAATTTAAAATGGAAAACCTTAAATAAATCTAAAATAAATCTTTTTTTAATTAATTGACCAGATTCTACCATAAATACCACAACAATGTAAAAATGACAATGAGGCTAATATATATATATACATATATATA